CAGAGCTGGCCCAGCTGCTGCCCCTGGTCCAGGCACAAGCGGGGTTGTCCGGCTCTTCAGTAGGCCGGGAGGCACAGCTGGAACAAGCAGATGAGCTGGGTGGAGAAGCAATTAATGCAGCACCCAGTAACCTCCTGTGAGGGTGCAGGCTCGTGCTCACAGGCTCGCCTGCTCTGTGTCGCTGAACAGACCTCGCTTCAAAGCACCGTGGTATGCTTGATTCCCRAAGGTGCTAGTCCTCGTTGCTTCTGTGTAATTTTGTTTGCCAGAGTTGTGGGTGCTAAAGCATTCTCAGCATTTGATTTTGGTGCCAGACCTTGGCTCTAGGCCCTCATACATTTTTTTTTTTGTACCTGACGGGAGGGAGTTGTCCTGATGCTTGTGCAGTGTTGGGATGTGCAAGGGGAAGTGGTCAAGGACTGTGAGAAATGGATGTAGAGAAATGGCCAGACATACTGAGGGAAAGAGCCTCTGGTTATGGAAGTCTGCGGAGAGAGGGTGGATGAAGGGAGCAGAGGGTGAGTCCTGAAGTCAGTCTGTGGTTCACTGGTCAAGAAATGCAGGACTCCATATAATATATGGGCTAGATGGGGACCTGGCTGGATGCTTTATTTTTTATTTAAGCTTAGATATTTGTTCACTAAATACTTAGATCTTCTACAGCTCACTTGTCTACAGAGCAAGCTGATAACAATCGTTTCAAGATTTTTCCAGCCCCTTTCTTATTCCGCAATCCTGAATGAAATTGAACCTTATTCTCCATAAATAACCTTTCTCATTCCCCAGCTGTCTCCTCGAACTGCTTCTCTCCCGACCTCTCCCTCACTGACTCTGGACTGACCTTGCACTTCCCCCACAGCCCTGCTGCCCGTGCCTGCCCTCCTGTTCTTCCTATGCTCTTTTGTCCTGTTTTATTTTTTTGAATAATAGGGTCCATGATTTCCTGAGCTGTGCGCTTCTTCAAATAAGCTTGAACAAGACTCTTCCGCAAGCAGAATGGGTTCAATGTGTGACAGACAAAAATGACTACAACTAGCGTGCAATTTTGGTGTTTTCAACCCCTTTCGCCCTGATTTTCTAGACTGTGGGTAAATATGCTTACCCACAGTCTAGAATCAGGGACTAGATTTTGTATTTTTGTATTGGCAATGAAAAATACCTTTTTCCTTCTTTTTTTGAATTCAAGGGAAGCATGCCAGTGCCTTCACCAGTATTTGTTCAAATAGAAGTTTTTGTCTTTCACTGCATTTTCATTAGGGTAGCAGAACCCAGCAATTTCTCAACATTTTTTATTAGACTGCAAAGGAATACTCGGGAGTTTTGTGATGGCTTTATTCAGGGCAGTGGGAATTACCGTGTGAAAAACTTGCACATGGAGCCTTTTTTGATTAAATATGCTAGACTATAGGTTGCACTCATCAGATATTATTTTCTTAGGATCAGCATGGAAAAGCTTTCAAAAAAGAGCAAGGAGGTCATGTGTGTCCTATTTGTGTGTAAAGTTTGTTGTCTTTTCATACTGTTATGGTGTAACACTGTGTGTAGTAGTGTTTTCCCCAATATTTGCTTGTCCGTTATTTTTGATAAATTGCAGTATTGGTTGGATAGGAACATTTTATTTGCAAAATGGAAAGTGAAGATCTGTTTCTAATACTAATATCAAAAAAAGAAAACTGAAATGTAGCTGCAAATCAAATCTATTTTTACAAGTAGACAGCTTAACTCTAGGTGTCAGCACTGCAAACTGAATGTTGAGCTCTGAAAATGACGTTTTGCTGTCTCTGAGTTCTCCAGTGCCACCAGAAATAATGTGCACTATAGGAAATTTGCTGACRGATGCATTGAGGCTGAAGAGGAGAGCCCACACGTGTGGTTAATGGCACTGGTATGAGTTGTGGCATTCCTTTCCTATACAGCATCTTTCTAGCTGCATTTAAGCATGTCCTTAGCAAAGGAATGTGGTAAATAATGGTCAATCTGGAGAAAGAGCACAAGATTCCTCTCCAAATTTTCACTGCTTAAAGCAGGTATAATTAATGCAGCCCTTTCCCTTCATCTCTTGTTAAATGCTTATCTTAAGTAGGTATCCAAAGTGAGGAGAGAGCTCATAAAGCCACAGTCATTTTCTGGTCCTAAAAGGCTCTATAGATCAACTGAGTTAATGGGGTGGATGAAGTTTATGTGGCTATTGTTTATACTCCAAAACTGTAGAGTGGGCAAGAGACCAGGGAAAGAAAGGCTTTGCTTGCTAGCCTTTCAGTCTAGCAATTACTGGAAGTAAATAAGAGCAATTTAACAGTGCAGGTACTGTGGTCATCCTGAAAAACCACATGTTTCGAAAGCACTGGCTATCAGCTTTGCATCTCCTCATCTCGTATGGGACTTGCATTGGCATCAAGTGATGCCATTACTTAAATAAATGCTTTTTGCTGTTTCTGCTCATAATCATCACTTAGCTGTACATTTTGCTTTTAATTATTACCTGATGGCATTTCTCTTGGAGTTAGGGTCCTGTTCAAAGGTTGACTGTTTTAAACATTGGATTCTCTTGAAATAGTGTGATTCTGACAAGGGAATGAAAAGGCTTTTGTGGTCTAAACCTGGAGTAATTTGAACCGTTTCCTCTGCATCATTTTTCCCTCTCAAGCACTGGAGCTTATTTAGGGAAGTCACAAGCCTGATATTCTTCTCTGAGTTTCTCTGTAGTTTGATCTGGCTGTCACCCTGACTGCTGTCACCTCTGAGCTGTTTCTTAACCAGTGGGCAAGTTGTCTGTCATCAGACCTGGACTGGAATTGAACTGGTCCTTTCGGAGTATTTATTGTTTTAAACACTACTTTTTCTCTCAAAGTACCTAAACTGAAGTGATGCAGCAAGATTTGATAGGATATCTCCTAATCTCCAGGATATCTAGTCTCTTACCTCACCTATACTATAGGGAGCTACAATTAGCCCCATGTTACAGAAAGTCTGTAGTTATTTCTCAAAACTTAGGGTCCAGTCTTCCTCATGGCACCATTTTTTTTTCTTTCTGCATAGCTTTTACTTTTAAGAATATTTCCAGGAAAACTGGCATGACTGGAATTGAAAAGGAAAGACCGTGGGAAGCCGAGCGGCGGGGCTGGGGCTCTGGCTTGTCCTTGTCTTCCTGAAGAGCGSAACGGGGCGTCCTTACCGGGAGGCTCGTTGCCGCCTCCTGGCCAGGCTCGCTCGGGTTAGCCTTTGTACTGACGAGTCATGCAGCCTGGTTGAACATCTGATCCTGCGAATGCAGCCAGGTTAAGAATTCCGCATAGTGGCACAGTGGATTTTTTTGTTCTTTCATTTTTTCTCCTTCCAGTCAAGAGGGAGTTGATTGGTGCTGAACTGGTTGGAGCTGTGCTATGATGTGGTGCCAATGCAGCAGTGTCTCAGACTTCACATCCCATTGTTGGGATGTGGTGCTTGCGTGTCCACAGTCTGCTTGAGGTCCACTTGCCAGCTGGATGCCTGGGGTTCGCGGTTAAATGGGTGTTAATTTGTAGCCCCCTGCAGCCCCGTTACACCTGGGAGAGCTGCGCTAATTAACCCCATGCTGAGTGTGGCAAGAGCAAGGAGTCCAGAAGGGGTTTCAGAACCCCGGGCACTTCAGTTTGCCGCAGTGTAGTCCCAGGGCACCCGGGCAAGGCTGGCTGCGCG